TAAACAGACCTTGGAGTGGGAATGCTATCTGATATATGTCCCGAAACAGAACTAAGAAAAATCTGAATTCTCAAATGAGATATAAATATAGAGTTATGTTGGGAATAATGTCTAAACAGATCCTGCAATGGGAATGCTCTCTTTACATGTCCCGAAACATAACTACAAAAATCTCAAATGATATGCAAATACATGGTTCTGTTGGGAATAATGGCTAGACAGACCCTGAAGTGGGAACGCTATCTGTTACACATGTCCCGAAACGTAACTTAAAAAAAATTTGCATTCTCAAATGAGATGCAAATACAGGGTTCTGGTGGGAATAATGGCTAAACAGACCCTGAAGTGGGAACACTGTCTATTACACATGTCCCGAAACATAACAAAAAAAATCTGCATCTCAAATGAGATGCGAATCGAAGATTCTGTTGGGAATAATGGTTGGACAGATCCTGGAGTGAGAATGCTATCTGTTACACATGTCCCGAAACATAACTAAAACAATTTGCATTCTCAAATTAGATGCAAATACAAGGTTCTGTTGGGAATAATGGCTAAACAGACCCTGAAGTGGGAATCTGTTACACATGTCCCGAAACATGACAAAAAGAATCTGCATCTCAAATGAGATGCGAATCGAAAATTCTGTTGGGAATATTGGTTGGACATACCCTAGAGTGGGAACGCTATCTGTTGCACATGTTTCGAAACGTAACTAAAAAATCTGCATACTCAAATGAGATGTAAATACAGGGTTCTGTTGGGAATAATGACTGAACAGACCTGGAGTGGGAACGTTATCTGTTACACATGTCCCTAAATGTAAGTAAAAAAATTTGTGTTCTCAAATGATCAAATACAGGGTTCTGTTGGGAATAATGGCTAGATAGACCCTGGAATAGGAACACTATCTGTTACATGTCCCGAAACGTAACTAAAAAATCTGCATTCTCAAATGAGATAAAATACAGATTTCTGTTGGGAATATTGGCTAGACAGACCCTAGAGTGGGAACACTATCTGTTACACATCCCGAAACGTAACTAAAAAATTCTGCATTCTTAAATAAGATGCAAATACAGTGTTCTGTTATGAATAATGGCTAAACAGACCTTGAATAGGGAACGTTATCTGTGTCACATGTCCCTAAACGTAAGTAAAAAAAAAATCTGCATTCTCAAATGAGATGCAAATACAGGATTCTGTTGGGAATAGTGGCTAGACAGACCCTGGAGTGGGAATGCTATCTGTTACATGCCCCGAAACGTAATTAAAAAATCTGCATTCTCAAATGAGATGCAAATACAGGGTTTTGTTGGGAATAATGGCTAAACAGACCCTGAAGTGGTAACGCTATCTGATATATGTCATGAAACAGAACTAAGAAAAATCTAAATTCTCAAATGAGATGTAAATATAGAGTTATGTTGGGAATAATGTCTAAACAAATCCTGCAGTGGGAATGCTGTCTCTTTACATGTCCCGAAACATAACTACAAAAATCTCAAATGATATGCAAATACATGGTTCTGTTGGGAATAATGGCTAGACAGACCCTAGAGTGGAAACTCTATCTGTTACACATGTCCCAAAACGTATTTAAAAAATTCTGCATTCTCAAATGAGATGCAAATATAGGGTTCTGTTGGGAATAATGGCTAGACAGACCCTGCAGTTGGAGCGCTATCCGTTACATGTCCCGAAACGTAACTAAAAAAATCTGCATTCTCAAATGAGATGCAAAATACAGGGTTCTGTTGGGAATAATGGCTAGACAGACCCTAGAGTGAGAACAATATTTGTTACACATCCCGAAACGTAACTAAAAAATTCCGCATTCTTAAATAAGATGCAAATACAGTGTTCTGTTATGAATAATGGCTAAACAGACCTTGAATAGGGAACGTTATCTGTGTTACATGTCCCTAAACGTAAGTAAAAAAATCTGCATTCTCAAATGAGATGCAAATACAGATTCTGTTGGGAATAGTGGCTAGAGAGACCCTGGAGTGGGAACGCTATCTGTTACATGCCCCGAAACGTAACTAAAAAAATCGGCATTCTCAAATGAGATGCAAATATAGGGTTTTGTTGGGAATAATGGGTAAACAGACCTTGGAGTGGGAATGCTATCTGATATATGTCCCGAAACAGAACTAAGAAAAATCTGAATTCTCAAATGAGATATAAATATAGAGTTATGTTGGGAATAATGTCTAAACAGATCCTGCAGTGGGAACGCTGTCTCTTTGCATGTCCCGAAACATAACTACAAAAATCTCAAATGATATAAAAGTACATGGTTTTGTTGGGAATAATGGCTAGACAGACCCTAGAGTGGGAACGCTGTCTGTTACACATGTCCCGAAACATAACTAAAAAGGACTGCATTCTCAAATGAGATGCAAATACAGGGTTCTGTTGGGAATAATGGCTAGACAAACCATGCAGTGGGAACGCTATCTGTTACATATCCCGAAACGTAACTAAAAAAATCTGCAATGAGATGAAATACAGGGTTCTGTTGGGAATATTGGCTAGACAGACCCTGGAGTGGGAACGCTATTTGTTGCACATGTCCCGAAACATAACTAGAAAATCTGCATTCTCAAATGAGATGCAAATACAGGGTTCTGTTGGGAATAATGGCTAAACAGACCCTGTAGTGGGAACGCTATCTGTTGCACATGTCTCGAAACATAACTAAAAAAATCTGCATTCTCAAATGAGATGCACATACATGGTTCTGTTGGGAATAATGGCTAGACAGACTCAGTAATGGGAACGTTATCTGTTACACATGTCCCAAAACGTATTTAAAAAATTATGCATTCTCAAATGAGATGCAAATACAGGGTTCTGTTGGGAATAATGGCTAAACAGACACTGGAGTGGGAACGCTATCTGTTACACATGTCTCGAAACATAACTAAAAAAATCTGCATTCTCAAATGAGATGCAAATACAGTGTTCTGTTGGGAATAATGGCTAAACGGACCCTAGAGTGGGAACACTATCTGTTACACATGTCCCGAAACGTAACTAAAAAATTCTGCATTCTCAAATGAGATGCAAATACAGGGTTCTGTTGGGAATAATGGCTAAACAGATCCTGGAGTGGGAACGCTATCTCTTATACATGTCCGAAATATAACTTAAAAAATTTGCATTCTCAAATGAGATGCAAACGCAGTGTTCTGTTGGGAATAATGACTAAACAGACCCTGGATAGGGAACGCTATCTCTTACACATGTTCTGAAACATAACTAAGAAAATCTGGATTCTTAAATAAGATGCAAATACAGTGTTCTGTTGGGAATAATGGCTAAACAGACCTTGGATAGGGAACACTATCTGTTACACATGTCCCGAAACATAACTATAAAAGTCTGTATTCTCAAATGAGATGAAAATACGGTGTTATGTTGGTAATAATTGCTAAAAAAGACCCTGGAGTGGGAACGATATCTGTTTCATGTCCCAAAACATATCTAAAAAAGTCGGCATTCTCAAATGAGATGCAAATACAGGGTTCTGACGGTGGAGTGAGAACATTATCTGGTATCATGCCCCAAAACGTAATTAAAAAAATCTGCATTCTGAAATGAGATGCAAATACAGGATTCTATTGGGAATAACGACTAAACAGATCATGGAGTGGGAATGCTATGTCTTTATATGTCCTGAAACATAATGCAAAAAACTGCATTGTCAAATAAGATGCAAACAGATGGTCTGTTCTATTAGGAATAATAGCTAAACAGACCCTAGATTGGGAACGTTATCTGTTTATTTGTCCTGAAAAATAATGCAAAAAACTGCATTTTCAAATGAGATGCAAACAGATGGCCTATTCTATTAGGAATAATAGCTAAACCGATCCTGGAGTGGGAACGCTATCTTTTACATGTCCCGGAACATAATTCAATATTCTACATTCGCAAGTGAGATCCTGGTATGTTCTATTAGGAATAATAGTTAAGCAGATCCTGGAATGGGAACACTATCGGTTAAAGTTCCCGAAGCATAATGCGAAAGTATGAATTCTCGATTGAGATGGTCTGTTCTATTAGAAATAATGGCTTAATAGATCTTCAAATGGGAACACTATTTTACAAGTCGCCAAACATAATGCACAAATATGCATTCTCAAATGAGATGCAAACAGATGGTCTGTTATATTAGGAATAATAGCTAAACGAACCGTGGAATGGGAATGCTATCTATTACATGTCTCGAAATATAAAAAAAAATTTGCATTCTTAAATAAGATGCAAATACAGGGTCTATTCTGTTGAGAATAATGGTTAAACAGGCCTCATAATGGGAACACCATCTGTTATATGCTCTGATACATAATGCAAAGATCTGCATTTTAAAATGAGATAAATGCCGAGGGTTTTTTCTGTTGGGAATGATGACTAAAGATACCCTGAAATGGGAATGCTATCTGTTATATGCCTGAAACAATAAAAAAACTGCATTTTCAAATGCGATGCAAAATAGAGGATCTGTTATATTGGAAATAATGGTTGATCAGACTTTGGATTGAGAATGCTATATGTTATATGTCCCGAAATGTAATACAAAAATCTGCATTTTAAAACGAGATAAATATGGCAAGTTTTCTGTTATATGTCTCGAAACATAATGAAAATCATGTATTCCCAGATGAGATGCAAATACAGGATTGTCCTATTGGGAATGATGGCTTAACAGACACTGGAATGAGATCAGTTAAATGTCCCGAAACATAATGCAAACGCATGCATTCTCAAATGAGATGGTCTGTTCTATTGGAAATAGTGGCTAAACAGATCCTGAAATGGGAATGTTATCTGCTTACATGTCATCTAAATTTTGTGTGCCCGGAACGAAAGCTAAATGGTGCTGATCTTTTTTCATGTGCCATTTTGCAGTACTTGATCACCAACAAATTTATAGACATTTCGTTACAATATATTTTGCAAATACGTCAAATAGACTGCAAGATGTGCAGGCAGTTTTACTATGCACCCAGAGGATGGGGTCTCAACATGCAAGAGCTGGCCAACTGATTACCAAAGAGCTTGAAAGAGTACAGGAATCATGCTGCTACTGATACAGTTAACAAGCACCAGACCCGTTTAATACTGCAAAGGATTAAATATGCTTCAAATCATCCTGAAAACAAGTGAGTTTTCTTTCTGCTTAGTTTGATATTGTGATCTCCTTGATGTCTCCTGCTTGCTACAAGTGCTTGAAAGTACAATGACTGAAACATGTTGCGTAATCTAGTATGTATGTTCGGTCCCTTTAGTTCCTGTGCCATTTCTGGAATGAAACATATATAAACTTGTTGTTCTCCAGCCTCCAGGTGGCCTGGGTTAGTGAAACGAGAGGAGATTATCCATTCAGTCACCACAAGCTCACTGTTCAATTGTATGAGCCATCTGCTGCCCAAGATAGGAAATTAGAAGGATTAATTCATAAAGGCCATTGTAGAGCTTTGGAGGCCAAACCTAGTGAATTAACCTCAGTGAAGGTTTCTCCCTCTGCGTATCTGTTGACTGGCAGCAGTGATCCTTGCTACATTGAAGCTTACCATTTAGCAGATACAAATGATGGAAGAGTCACTTTACACTTGAAGGTTTGTGTATATTCTCTCATAAATTAGTTTATGCAGGGCTTGCCTTTTGGTCCCCATTGACTTATTCACCTCTGTTTTGATATTGCTTTCAGATTATAAATTTGACGGAGCTTGAGCTGAATCGTGTGGATATACGGGTCGGGTTATCGGGTGCCCTGTACTTCATGGATGGCTCTCCTCAAGCAACACGGCAGTTGCGTAATGTTGTTTCACAGGTTGCATTTCCATTGTTGATTAACAGAACCTTGCAAACCGATCTCTTTTTTTCAGCTGTGTTCCGCGGCAAAAACATGGCACGGAGGCTTCCTGGGAATGGTATTTGGAGCGAGTGAAGTGAGCAGGAACGTGGATCTGGGTGACAAGACGACCACGATGATGTGCAAATTCGTGGTGCGAGCATCGGATGCATCCATCACAAAGCAAATAGAGGCAGATCTTCAGGGATGGTGTGATGATCTGACTGAAGGCGGGGTTGAGTACATGCCCGAAGACATGTCAAGTCTGCAGCTGCTGAGAAGCTTAGAATCTCGATGGAGAGGTTAGCTCTGTTGAAAGCCGCTCGACCCAAAAAGACTCCAAAGGTGGAGGAGGAAGAAGAGGAAGAGGAAGATGACGACGAAGAAGGAGAAGAAGAAGAGAAAGAAGAAGGAGAAGAGGGAGAGAAGTCAGAGAAGGAGAAAGGGATGTTGTCAAAGTTAACAGCAGAGGAGACGGAGCATCGTGCACTTCAGGCTGCGGTTCTTCAGGAATGGCATATCTATTGAGTGATTTGGTTGGAATATCAGTAAAAACAGGGGAGTTTCCAGTTAAAAATGCTCTCAGGGGGTAAATCGTGATCGTTTGTAATGTAAATATGAGATTGTGGGCTTTACTTTTTACCCGAAGACGCTCTCTGAAATCAAGGCCAGATGCTTCTGGATCGTCAAGAGGTTCCGGCACACGAAAAGAACCGGGTGAAAACCGGAAACGCGACATACCGAATCGTCTATTGCCGCTAATTTAAACTCCGGTTCAGTGTTTTTGACTCTCTCAACCGAAAAGGTGAACCGGATTGCTATTCAGATGTTTAAATAGGAGAAGCCGGATAGGCGGAGAAGCCATTCCCGATCCGAGTTTCGAAGAAATCTGTTTCTGCCTGAAAAGGTTGCAGCTTTGCGAATCTGTGATTCGATGGGGGGATTATACAAGGACGTGGAAGGAGCGTCGACGCAGTGGGATGATATCCTCCCGCCGAAGCCTCCGGCGTTCAAGCCACCTGCTTTTACGCCCCTAAGGATAGTCTTGGATCCAGGATAAGACGGAAGAAGAGCTTGAGGACAGCAAGGATCTCGACGATGATCGCTTCCTCGAAGAATACAGGTATGGCGATCAAATCGATCCTTCTGATATTTATTTATTGCCGTATTCGGACCCTATGGATACTTCTTTACGATGTAATTGTGGAGCGGTTATGAAATTCGGTGCCGGATTTGTTGTCCGATTGCTGTCATAAAGCAGCCCTCGTTAGTCCATAGAAAAACCCTACAGAATCTAGTAGAGTTCCATCAAGTCGTTGGGCCTCAAAACGTGTGTACGATGTAGTCTGCATTCATAAAATCATATACACGATAAGATTTTTTAGGTTTTATTATAAATTATACAATTACTACTGTACAAATACAATATTATACTCTCTTTTTTCTTTTTTCTTTTTAATTTACTATGGTTTTAGTTTAATTGCTTTGACGATTATTAGAGGATGACTTTTATTGTACTGCATTTTTAGTTACCTATTTCAGTGTAATTAGAAGATGATTAAGATTATTTTGGAAATTCATATCCAATTGGGTTTCATGTTAGATTTATTCGAATTTTAATGATAAAATACTTCTTGTCTATTTTTTGATTATTTTTATCTTTGGTTCATATTTGATTTTAATCATGTTTTTTTGTTAAAAAATGATAATCATTTAATTTATATATCGTATTCAATTCGATTACGTGTTATTTGACTTGTGAAGAAAGAAAATAATCATAAAAAAATATATTGAAAAAACATACAAAATTTTTTAGTCTAGAATTTAAAAAATGAGATGATAATACATTTCAAAATTTGTAATCTTCCAAAAACTCGAAATCTCTATCCTGTATCTTGATTTTTCTTTACATAACAAAAGAATTTTTTTATGCATATGATCATAATTATTTTCCAATTTTTCTTTTTTCTGAATAAAAATATTTATATATTATTATAAATCAATTGAAAGAAAAAAAAAAATCATTGTGAGGTATGAAATCAGAATCTGATTTCACAAGACCAAGAACAAGGAATCATTGAAAAAATTGGGATGCCTACTGTCAACAACCCAAAACCAAAAGATCCATCACTCAATGCCAATGGACCCTTGGGGTTGTGTTAGGTCCCGTGACCAGTCGCCTAACTTCACCCGTATGATGTAAACAGAGAGGCTAAGACAAAAGCTTTCCACACATTTAGACAACCAGTTTTGTTATGTCTGAAAATCCATCTTCAAATCAGAACCATCAATCTCTCTCTATCACTCGGATCCTTTTTACTGGGTCCCACATATCCCATTTCTTATATATATATGTATGTATTTGGTTCCATAACATTGAATACAGTTAAAGTTAGAGACCTTCTGACAGAGAAGATACTCTTTTGTTAACACCCATTTGCTGCCTGTTTCCTGTAAATCGCTGTTGCTTTTGTGGACGTGGTTAGTATGGTGTTAACGTTAAACACCAATTCTTCTCATAATTTTTTACAGTTATGGTCATTTTGATTCACTCTTTTGTGTTCTTGAGATATTTTCAGGTTGCTGAGAACAAAGAAGTCTCTGCATCAATGGAGGACAACAACAACAGCAATGGCAAAGCCTCTCAGCTCGATGTTCTGCAAAAGGAGCCGACTTTGGTGAAACCCATATCCGAAACTCAAAAGGGTCTCTATTTCCTGTCGAATCTTGATCAGAACATCGCCGTGATCGTCCGAACGATCTATTGTTTCAAATCAGAGGAAAAAGGAAATGAAGAAGCAGCTGATGTGCTCAAGAACGCTCTCAGCAAGGTTCTTGTTCACTACTATCCTCTCGCTGGGAGGCTCACCATTTGCCCAGAAGGTAAATCTCTTGCTCATGCAAAATAAGAATATTTGATGAAGTACGCATAAAAAAAAGGAGAATATGATTTCTGTGTCATTTCCACCAGCTTTTTCTGTAACTGTATCCATATTTGATGGCGATCAGGTAAGCTTATAGTGGACTGTACGGAAGAAGGAGTTGTGTTTGTGGAAGCAGAAGCAAACTGTACAATGGATGAGATCGGTGATATTACAAAACCTAAGCCCGAAACCCTTGGCAAATTGGTATATGATGTTCCTGATGCCAAGAACATTCTTGAAATCCCTCCTGTTACAGCTCAGGTTCTTGCTCCCCCGGCCCAAGCAATCTCTTTTCCTATTTATGAATCGGTAATTTAAGAACAAACCGCTGTTAAATTCTCGAAAAGGTTGATGATCCTTTTGTCTGATCATGAACAGGTGACCAAGTTCAAGTGCGGAGGCTTCGTTCTTGGACTCTGCATGAACCACTGCATGTTCGATGGAATCGGAGCCATGGAGTTTGTCAATTCATGGGGCCAGACGGCAAGAGGGTTACCGTTAACAACCCCTCCATTTTCAGACAGAACCATCCTCAGAGCTCGAAACCCACCAAAGATCGAACATCTCCACCAAGAGTTTGCAGAAATAGACGACAAATCCAACATCAACGCACTCTACGCAGGCGAACCGATGCTATACAGATCCTTCTTTTTCGACCAGGACAAGATCAAGAAACTCAAGCTCAAGGCCACTGAAGATGGTGAAGTTCTTGACAACTGCACAACCTTCGAGGCCTTGTCGGCTTTTGTGTGGAGGGCAAGAACGAAGGCCCTGAAAATGTTGAATGACCAAAAGACCAAGCTTCTGTTCGCAGTGGACGGCAGGGCCAAGTTTGAGCCCCCTCTTCCAAAAGGGTATGTCGGGAACGGAATCGTTCTGACAAACGCCATTTGTGAAGCAGGGGAACTTCTTGAAAAGCCCTTGGCTTTCGCAGTCGGGTTAGTCCGTGACGCGATCAAGATGGTGACTGACGGGTACATGAGATCTGCAATAGATTACTTCGAGGTCACAAGGGCAAGGCCGTCTCTTTCATCGACGCTTCTCATCACGGCATGGTCGAGATTGTCGTTCCACACTACAGATTTTGGCTGGGGAGAACCGGTTTTGTCCGGTCCGGTCGCCTTGCCGGAGAAGGAAGTGATTCTCTTTTTGTCTCATGGAGAACAGAGGAGAAGCATCAATGTTCTTCTTGGACTTCCTGGTTCAGCCATGGATGTATTCGAAGAGCAGATGAGGCAGATATGAAAAGAACGACAAGGAAGATTCTACAGCCTCTTTCCTCTCACCATGTCAATGTTTCTGGTTATCATGTTTGTCGTATTCGTTACTCGTATTGTCGCCATTGAAATCGATTCCGCCTTTCCAATTTTTTCTTTTTACTGAAATGTCGTCTTCACCTGAAAAATCCTGCCTGTATCTTACGTCGAATTCAAACCATTAATAATTTGATGAGTATTCTTTTGGTTAGTTGAGCAGCTCCATTAATCAGATAGTGAAACTCTGAAAAGGAACTTCCTACAGAACAAACCGTGCCTTATCTGTAACAGCGATGTTGTCTGCAGATCACTGTCTGATTCGTTGAGCTTCAAACTATTCTCACGCGCCATTCTTGTTGAGTCATATGCATTCTCCTGTTAAACGAAGTTAACTGATTCCGTAAATTAGTGAATGTGCTTTAAAAGCAAGTCGTAAGCCGAGATAATGGACTACACAGAAGGTTCATCCAACTTTCTCGCATTTTCCTTCACTTTCTCGGATAAGCAAACAAGTTTCACTCCAGATTTTATATCTAGAAAAGGGTTTGTGGTAAAAGAAACGGCGTAATGATATTTGTAGGATGCAGACGAAGTGATGCTACACAAACTGGTAATCATAGGAAACAACACCTCTGTATGATTGTGATTTACTCCCCCTATATGTAATAGCTCACCAATGTTACTTCATATCGCCATTGATACAGCTTCTCTGATGAATGAACAAAGGCGAAACAGTGATTCAATGGTGGGCTTGCAGGTTGCAGCTAATCCCAGAGATACCTAAGGTCTTCTTCGATCTTCTCTGCTGAGAAAATTTCCGATACGAGATCAGAAGGACTGGCACACAATGCTCATATGCAATGAGGAAATGGAGTCAAAGGAGATATAGGGAGAGCTTTATAAAGAACTCGGTGGAAGAACCGACTTGGTGTTGTTTTAGCTGGAGATGGCTGCACCACGACGATATGCATCGTGATGACCGCTTTAGGGAGATCGGTAAATGGAATTTCACATTGGCCGACCAACCGTTCTGCTGTTCTCGAGAATTTTCCCAGCACTGATCAACTTGATGTCACTGGCTGATCTTCTTGTCTGAAACACCGCATTTTCAGGATAGGGTTCAGTTCAAGCGAAAGAAAGCAAAGGTATATATATTGTTCTCAAGACATCTTTCTTGCAATTGTCATATTTTCTGCAATATGGTTTCACTGCCAGAACTATATTGTGCATTGGGTCTTCATCATCCTTGCTTGCTGTATTCATCCATGGATGACTGACTATACGGATTAGTTATCATATCCTTTCGAGAATTCGCGTGATATTCGGACATCATATGAAGCGGTTTCTTCGTTTTAGATCCTCGAATGTAGGAACTGAACATCAGAACTTGTAAATCTCTGACTCGTGCAGGGTCCAAATCCACTTTCATGCAAGAAGAAGAAGAATCATGAGAAATCCAAATCTGGGTCATCAAAGGTGAGAGCTCTTGGATACAGACAGATTTTGGTTCCCAATCTGACTGCGATTCTTGAGACGTATATGAACCAAGGTTCTGTCTTTGAAAAATGCTGGGTTAGTTGATGATAATCCGTCAAGAAGATCGACGGTTGCAATTCAATCTAGAAGATCAACGGTGGAGATTGCAGCAAAATAACCGACGGTCGACAGTTAAGGGATTCTTAGTTAAGTGTTCATTCATACAGTTAACCAGGAGTAGCTCTGTTTTACGACCAAGATCTTTGTTTTTTTTTTTTTGAAGCCATTACTCACTGAACTTAGATTATGAAAGCAAATGTAAGAGAGGTCTCTCATATGATATGCGTTGTGGAAGAAATCAGTGAGCTGAAATTAAATTTCCCGACACAAGTGGACCAGACAGGCAACTCAAATGTTCATTGAGGCACGGCTCTCTGCAATAAATGCGCAGCTCGGATCCTTTTCTAAATTAATTACACCACCAAAAGCTTTGGCTTTTGCTTTGATTCCCTTCTCCATGGGACCATTTCGAATCCCCTCTCCTCTCACAAATATATAAAATTAATTTTGTAAAGATCGAAACTTTGACCAGAACGGCTTATTGGGTTTTTAACAGAGGAAATCACTGATGTAATCACTGGCTGTTCAAAGAGTGGACAAGTTGATCAAATAGACATTTCGAAGCCTTATAAATTCATACGGCGCTAAAAACTCAATCAAGCTACTGGGTCGTTTTAGCAATGGACAGAGAGGGTGTTTAAACAGTTCAAGACCAGTCAAACTCCCAAGACAGGACATTAAACAGAGTCAGCAAGTTCATCAACCTCAAAGTCACATCAGAGTTTCTTGTACGCAGTTACATATGGGTATATATATATATGTGTGTGTGTGTGTGGAGTGCTGAGACAATACTCAATTGAAATGTCACTGTTAACGTCCCTCTTCTCCCCTTTATGAGGAACCTTTCTTGGGTTAAAACCACCATGTGAAGGTCCTTTCTTTATTCTTGGGAAAGAATAAAAGCTCTACAACTCTCATAACTCTCCTTTTATCTGTTCACCCCTTCCTCTATCCCTCTTCTCCCCTTTCGGGTTACATTTGGTGCTTTCTTTGTGGAATTATCTCTCTCTCTCTCTCTCTCTCTCTGTGTTGGTGATACAGCACAATGTATAAGAATCAACTGCAAGAGCTTGCACAGAGAAGCTGCTTTAACCTCCCTTCATATACCTGCATAAGAGAAGGCCCAGATCATGCCCCAAGATTCAAAGCTTCAGTGAACTTCAATGGGGAGATATTTGAAAGTCCCACTTACTGTTCCACTCTCCGACAAGCGGAGCATGCAGCTGCAGAAGTTGCCCTTAATTCTCTTTCTTCCAGAGGCCCTTCAAGGTTTCTAACCGCCAGGGTTCTTGTAAGTGCCCGCCTTCCTTCCCTGTCTCTTCTACCTCTGGCTTTGATCATTCGTAGTTCGTTCACATCTTTATCAGTTTTATGTCTGAATTCCGACAATCCGTTACAAACCCGTGATTCTTTGGTGCATTTTCCAAAGGACGAGACTGGGATCTACAAGAATCTGCTTCAAGAAACAGCCCACAGAGCTGGTCTTGATTTGCCAGTGTACACAAACGTGAGATCAGGTCCTGGTCACACTCCAACGTTCTCTTGTACCGTGGAGCTCGCCGGCATGAGTTTCACGGGTGAACCTGCAAAAACAAAGAAGCAAGCTGAGAAGAATGCTGCAATTGCAGCTTGGTCTGCCTTGAAGAAAAGTACCCAACTTTCTTCACCTAAACTGGCGAACTTTCCTCAATTCAAATCAAAGTTTTCCTCAAGTTTTGTAACTGATTCCATCAAAATTCTGTCTTGATGTCGCACAGTGCGAGGTTTGGACTCTCTGGCAGAGAAGGAAGGTGAAGAGAAGGAACAGGAAGTAGTGGCAAGAGTTCTCTCGAGTTTTAGACCCAAGGAAGTGAAAAGAAGGGAGCCACACCAATCAAGGAGAAGAACACTCACACGAAGTCACAGAGACACAAACAGTGATTTGTTGAGTGGGAAACTGAGGTTGATCAATCTGTTGAGCAATAGCCATGAAGCTTCATCGTCACAGAAACACCATCAAACGAGTTTCATCTCTCAAATTCCACCGCCAAAATCATCCAGAATCCTGCCAAACAATTCCTCAAGAGTCCTATCTTCAGTTAAACCCTTCCAACAACAATCCAGAGAGGAATCACAAGAGAAGTTTCAAGAATGTGTGGAGAAAGGGCACCTTGCTAAGACAGAAATGATCATCAAGTCGCTTCCTTTGCCCACGGCTCAAAATAACACCACAACAAATGATTCACCGACCCATAGAAGCAGCTACAGTAAGCTCTTGCCCTTTTCCGACAAGGCAACAACTGCAGAGGTTTTCTACAAAAGCAGAGGATTGTACACAGGAGGGTTTAGCTTAAACCCTCATAGAATGGCTCCAGCCGTTCAAATCAGATCAGTGATTCCGGTTTGTGCAGCTCCACCGCCACAACCAGCGAAGCCAAACCCTAACCCATCATCATCATCGCCATCAGTCAACGAATCCGCATCCCTTCGTCATCGTTCTGCTACCGGTAGTGCCATTAGCTGCGAGATGAGCAAACTAGGTTTTCAAACAAAATCCAGATTAGGCGAAAAATCTGATCAGACCCATGATTAGTTTAGCCAAGATTATTAATGGGTTACATGCAGATTATCCACTTGTTCGGATGTTCTACCATGAGACAATAAAAAAAAGACATATGGGTAGTGTCTGTCTGTTTCATCGTGTTCTTGTCTTTCGAGTTTGAATTTTACGGCCTGACATGAATTCAATGCCCTGAACTGCACGAAGACCAGAGAGAGAGAGCATTAAATGGAGGAAGAGAAGACGATGGCATTGGCAGTGATGAAATAAAAGCGTTTTAATGGCTTTTGTCTTCGACATTAATGGCGCCGATTGCTCTGCTTCTCCTTCCCACTCTCTCATTTAATGGCTTTTGATTCTTTATTATGAAACTTTTACGTCTGAAATATGACGTTTCGGAATTTGTAATTAACGAAACAAACGTAACTGAAAACCATCGTCCATGGAGTTTTCTGCTCGTCTTGTCACTGGGGATTGACAGAACTGACCGTTGAGTTTTGTTTTTATGGCTTTATACTATACTGTGTTATGGTCAAATCCATGTCGATTTCTTAACAAGTTAACCACGATATGAACGTTGAATTTCCATTCTCCGAGCCATGAATATGAAAGACAGGAATCTACAGAGACAGAACAAAAACGAGTGAGTGAATCTGTTCCTATTGCTTCGGAGAACAGACAGAATCATGGACATGTGCAGAAGTGGAGGGGTTAATAACGTCTCAATGTGTCAGAAGTAGAGGGCTTATCTACAGTGAAGAGATACGACATTCAAATGATTTTCACCATGAATGCACATGATGATGGCAAATCGCTTGGCTAATGTCGACATAAGAGAGCTTCAAGAACACAACCAGAGAGAAAGAGAGAGATGCTAAAGATAGGCATTGGTCTGTTTTTAGTTAAGGAAAACATCAAAGGCTAAGGTTCTCCAATGCGTGACAACCTTTGGCTTTCTTTAAAAAAACAAAAGAACGATTTCCTTTTCTGTATCTCTGTATCTGTAATGGTCCTTTCCTTTTTCCTTCTTCCTTCGACCGTACGTCCATGGTGGTGATCTCCCTCTAGCTTCTTCCATCACTGGCCCTTTCTTCGGCCATTTCCCCCCCTCTTTTCTCCAGCTTCTCAGGCTTCATCCGAGAAATGGGTTGTGGAGCTTCAAGGCCTGAGACTGAAGAAGGAGGCAATAATGGAAGAGAAGGAGAGATATTCAAGATGATAACACGGGGAAGATCGATCCACGGAAGCGTTGTGGCTGATAGCTTCACGTTGGACAAACAGTTTCTCGAGAATCCTGGTGAACGTAACAGAGATGGGTACGAAACGGAGGAGACGAAGAAGGAAGAAAATGGAGGAGGATCATACGCTATGGATATGCCTGAGAATAGCATTCTGCTGTGTCCTGGATCTCCTAGCTTTCGCATTTACTGCGCCGGCGATGACGTCGATGATGACGACGATGATGATGGTAATTAGTTAGATATCGGATAACGAGTTAGATCGTGTAAGATTTTGTTTCAGCCGAGGGACAAGATTCAGACATGGAACTTGACCAAGAACCTCTCATGCATATATATATATATATATATATATATATGTATGATCATATGCATTGACATATATACTTTTTTTATATCGTTATAGGCTTTCTTGGGCCCGTGTGTTATCTGCGGCGGAACAAATGCCAATCCAACGATAACAAGGTACGTAGTACACAGACCGTACACACATAAAATACAACACGTGCCTATACTATACGCGCACGTACACACATATGTATATGTGTACTGTATAACGGTGTTTTATCTGGCAGAAAGCGAGGATCGCAAGAATAGGAAAAGGATTCAAGAATGTGAGGAAGCTTCTGACACATCCGGTGGCTTCCAGTGACAAACCTCCGGCTAGAGCTGGACATTGAGATATGAATGGAACCCGACAGTATATAGAAGAAGAGATTCATATATAGAGATCGAGAAGATTACGTAAATTTTCTCAAATCACTCTCGATATTCTCATAATCCATGCATGCATGCAATCTCCAGGTTATAGATTTCACGCGATGATCTATTTGATCTTGTCAATTGTTACCAACACTGCCGTCACTAGTAGTAGACAAAGGTTAACTTGGGGTTCTTATGACAAGGAAAATACCGTAGCTAGGCTATAGTTATGCGTACGATGATGTTGCCATTGTCGCGATGGCCCGTTATTATGCGTACGATGATGTTGCCATTGTCGTAAAACCATCAAATGGTCACTTGCACCTTTGTCCAAATTCTTAAATGTCTTCGTTCATATTCGTTAAATTTTCTTCGGTGAACACCATTATTTAAACAATAAACAATCCAGTCACATTCACATACCAACCTATATATATATATATATATATATTCAAAATAAACTAATTATTTTAAAAAATCGCGTGACTCATTAATTACATATGCATCTGCCAACATTCCGAAATAATAAAGGGTTTATATTATATATATACTTCTTGAATTTTTTGTTAATTCATCTTGGGTTTGCAATGTCTATATAATCAATGGGATTAACAAGGAAAAAATACAAGGAATATATATGAACATTTTCCGAGCTCTAAGAATATTTACAAAGAGATCATTTCAAAACTACCGATCATGGGACAAATGTTGCACATCAATATTGGTATCTAGATATCCAAAAATATCCGAATCGAATATTGGTCCAAATTCATAAGATTATTGTGGATATTACTTGAATCCTCGACATGTGAAGCCATCCCCTCTATAATTTGATATACCCCATCGTATTAATTATACATTGACTATATATTTGCTTATAAAGCATGATATAAATATGAGGGTATATCCGAATTGATTATATTTAGTACTATCTCCATTTACAAATTTTTTTTAGGGTTGGGCAATTAATATTCGGGTTGGGAAATCCGTACCAATCGAAATGAATAATTATATCGAAAACAAATATTATCTTAAAATAATAAATAATTTGATATTAATTCAATTTGAATATAAAAATAACAAATAAACTGAATAAAATGATGTTTAAAAGTAATTTTTTAAATAAAAATCGAAAGGAATATAATTTATTTTCATATCAAATAAAACACACACGTTCAAGGCAGAAAACAAATATAATTTGAATATAATTTTATAAAATTTAAAATATCAAATAAGGAATAACGAAATCGAAATATAATTGAACCTAAATATCCGTAGCTGTGATGTCAATGTTTGTTTTCATCTAGAAATTTAATGATTTAAATGTCAATGTTTACATTGTTACTAGAAAAAAGACATACAATATGATTTTTTTTTCTTCTAGAACAATATGGCTATATTTCTTGAAAAAAAATCCTTAATGCCAGGAAGGGAGATTTGACCCTCACGCCGGTGGTCAAAGCCGAATAATGATGATCACTTTCCTTCCCTGTCATCAATCTTTGACTTTTGACCTCTTCCCACACCCATTCTGTCCACCATGATCTCGCCACGTGTTATATCTCCCATCTTTACCGTTGATCTCCATCGTGTCCCTAATCGTCGTACACGTGTACAACAAATTAGCCGTCGATTATTTTTCCTTTCTGTTTTTCCCATCTGGGTTCCGTCTCCCGTCTCTCCCTGTTTCGATCTGTTTTTTCTTATATACCTTTAGATTTTTTTTTTTAAAAGCTTTGTTTTCTTCTTTCTTCTTCTGCTCTCTTCCGTCAATGTCGTTGAACACATTCGACGATACTTGAATCTCACTCTCTCTTCGTCTCCTTGTCTTCATCCTCTCTCTGTTTCTCCGATTTCCTCTCGCAAATCTGCCTATCTCTTCTCATTCGAGGGAGGAGGTGATCTAGGATTTCTACGACGAATTTCTCTTTTCCGTTGCGGTGATTAGGGTTTCTGTTTCTCGTTCGTGTTCTCCGGATGATGAAAGCTTCTATTGGGAGGTTGAGGAGATTCGCATTTCACAAGGTTGATGGGAAGGACAAAGGAGAGCTTTTTCCGACGGCACAGATTGACGAGCTTGCCCGAGCCGTCAAGGTACTTCATTCTGGTCGTTTATGTATCCCTTTCTTTCTGGGTTATTAAGGCGGTTCATCTGGTCGTTGATATTCCTAGGTACTTGGGTTTTGCGGTGGGATTTAAGTAGGGTTTATGCTGTACGAGGGTATTAGCTTTGCAATTTTTCGTAGCATTGTCGAGTTTATTTGGGGAATCGGGCGACTGTAACGGGTTAACTTATTTACAAACGATCCATGTTGTTGATGGCCGATTTGTTCACTGGAAAGTGAAGAACGTGTTCAGAAACTCTCGATTTGGTAGGAAATCATTCGAATTATCTTCCTAGCAGGGGAATTAGGGGCTGTGGGGTCTGGGAAGGAATTCGTTCACGGCATCTGTAATTGTAACTAACTGTTGTAGTTTCTTGACATTGGAATGAAAGAGTCGCAGGTAAGTGATGGATTTAGATGTAAACCTGTGGTGACAATTTTAGGGTTTTCATTGGATATGCTTTGAGATCTAAGTTGGTTGTATGCCAGAAGGTAGTGACTCTGAAAACTCTTTGGATTTTGTGAAGTTCACGAGGCAAATTGGTCGAACCTTCTATGATGTTGATTGGCATATTGTTCTTGATAGTTGAAGAACATATTTAGGAATTTCGCAAATTTGGCAATAAATGACCCAAATTTTATTCTTTGGGAAATTTTGTGCGTATAGGTTCTTCCTAGTTAGCTGCTTGAGTAGTTTCATGAGCTACAATGAAAGACTCATCGGATTTGTCTCTAGTTATATCGTCAAAGTCCTCTTTGTCATTGAGTATGATGATAATATCCCTGAGATGTGTCTCTCTTGTGGTGTTCTCAGGATATGCAAGACATAAGAGAATGCTATGATAAACTACTCTCGGCAGCAGCTGCCACAGCTAACAGTGCATATGGTAAGCAAGAATTCAACTTTGTAGATCTGCAAATGCAGCTTCTGGCACAATCTCGCTCTTGTGTGCCTCTTCTAATACCTATATGTTCCATTAAGTACGTCAGCATGTACCCTTTTGTTCTGATTTCTATCTTATGTTTGTCCTGAAAGTCCGAGAAAGTGTTGTCTTTTCAGTCCCATATTCATTTCGATTGCCATATATGTACATGTGCTTTAATGTTATGCCTTTGTTTGGTAATTCCAGAGTTCTCGGAATCCTTGGGGGAAATGGGTTCTTGTTTGGAGAAAATCGCGTTGCACAATGATGAAGAAAGTGGTAAGCGGATAGGGATTGAATATTAGAGAATTTATTTTCCTTTTGTTTTTAATGCCTGTGACCATGACACTGTAACTTCTGCAGGTAAAATCTTGTTAATGTTGGGTAGAGTTCAGTTTGAGCTCCGGAGACTCGTTGACACCTATGTAAGTTGTCTGTTGTAACATAATTTCATTGTTCCTCCACGAGAGACCAATAGTTTTGTACAAAATCTAAGGCATGACGATTTTACTTCTTACATTGTTTCTTCAGCGCGCTCATATATTCAAGACTATTACACACCCATCAGAATCTCTTCTCAATGAGCTTAGAACTGTCGAGGTATGCCTGTCACTTTCTTTATTGTCTTGTTAATGTTCTATTCAACTATTAAGGTGTGCACTTGGGCTGCGGTTGACACCAGCATCCTTTTTTCCTTCGTTTGTGATGTTTAATTGAGCAGGACATGAAGCGGCAATGCGATGAAAAGAGGTTCGTTCTTTTCTGCTTTATAAGAGTTGTTTTATTTTGGTCATATAAACTTTTGCTTTTGTCTCTAAATATCGATCCATTAATTTCAGAGATGTTTACGAGTACATGATGAGTCACGTGAAAGAGAAAGGGAGACCCAAATGCAAAGGAGAGAACTCTATGTCGCATCAGTTACAAGCCGCTCATAACGAGTTTCATGATGAGGCGACATTGTGCATTTTCCGGTTGAAGTCTCTTAAGCAAGGACAATCTCGTAGTCTTCTCACACAAGCGGCACGCCACCACTCTTCTCAGGTTTGTATCTCGAATCTTTTAAAAGAAATGTTCCCATCTTTGTTTTTCTTTTCCGGAAGAGATTAATCGGCGATATGAGTCCCATTGCTTTGTGGATTGAATCAGCGGTTTTAGTTTCGTATATTATGAATTTTCGAAACTGCGTCTAACTATCTTTTTGTTTATTAGATGCGTTTATTTCGGGATGGACTGCAATCTCTCGAGGCTGTTGAGAAACATGTTCGAATCGCTGCGGAGAAGCAACACATTGACTGTGAGCTCTCTGTTCACGGAAATGAAATGGAAGATACCAACAATGATGATGATGATGATCGATACATTAACAGAGATGGGGAACTCAGTTTTGACTGCAGGACGAGCACACAGAGAATAGAAGCCCTCTCTACGCCTAGAAAATCGATCAAGGTAATGTTACCCCAAAGAGATAATATTAGTTATGTACTGTCTTTTGCTTCGACGATCTCAAAACAAAATCTCACACTACTTTCCGTTTTCTTTCAGGAGGATGCTGACCTCTCGTTTCCACGCCCTTCAGCAACAGAACCAGCTGTGGTTTGTTTTCTAGTGTTCTACATTCGTTTTCCGATTCTTGGTCAGAAGATCCTCGATTTCTCGAGTTTAATGCGAGCTGAGTTGTCATCTCTATTCTCTCGTGCAGATGTATAGAGATAAAAAGGAACACCAAGTTTCTAGCCATGATAACAGAGCAAGCAGCCATTCAGCACCGTTATTCTTGGAAAAAAGATGCGATTTTTCGGACAGGATGAGGCAGATGAATCCATCCCCAGCCCAGGCGGGTACGAATGCGTACGTGTTACCCACCCCGGCCTTTACGACGAAACCAGCTCCTTCAAATGTGAAACCGCCAAACCACAGCGGAAATACATGGCAATGGCATTCATCTCCGCTGGAACAGGTGAAGAATGGTAAAGATTCCGAGAACAGCAGCTCCATCTCTGCCCGTCTGCCCCGTCCCTCCTCCGGTGAGCCACCTCAGTTTTCCGTGCCACTCATGAGCAAACCGTTCTCGGGTGGTGCGGTTTCCCGTTTGCCAGTTCGGTCTCCAAAGGTCTCGCCAGTTGGTTCACCGCCTCCGCCTCCACTCGGTTCGTCCCCACAGGTGAGCGAACTGCACGAGCTTCCAAGACCACCGGGAACCGTACGACGTGCAAAATCTCCGGGAGGTCTGGTCGGTCACTCGGCACCTGTGTCGGCATGGAGTGGCAGCCATGAAAGAAGCACTGGTCCGTCGTCAACTGGCATTGTTGTGGGGGCGCCGCTTCCTGTTCCGCCATTGGTGGTCGTCCCAAGAAGCTTCTCTATACCCTCGAGAGACCAGAGAGCCGTTGCCCTAATGAACCACAGATCGCCACCTTCCTCACTTCCTCAATTCCCCTGATTACAAAGTGGTTTGTAGAGATCACCCATTTAAGTAAATATAGAGAAACTTGATATATATATTTTTTTTTTGTATTCTTTGTTTGGTGAAAATCAATCTCTTTCTTTGTTCCTCCAATGTAAATCTGAAATCCACAGATTTTCTTCTTCTTTTATTTTTTTCCTGCAAAATTTTGTCCACCCCAATCCCGTGGATGAAACGTGCCTTATTTAAGGGAAAATCTTGTTTTATTTTCCAATTAATTGTTTGGATTGCCCACGTAACGAAAAGTTTCAGCTTTTTTTTTAAAGACGAATTTATTGTATTCTATACAAAGTCCGATTATAATTATTTGTACTTGTGATTTTTCTAAATTTAGTAATGTTTTGTCAAATCTAATTTAGACAAGTATATATTAGTTTCAATCTAAAAGAAACACAGAATTAACCACCACAAGTTTCCAGTGTAGTCTTTCTTAATCGTTTGACTAAATTTCACAGATTAATCAAAACAAAATTCATAACAGTTGCAGTGTGGAAAAAAAGAAAAATATTAAAGGAAAAAGAAAAAGAAAGGGAAGGCTAATGGTCTCGGTAATGGCGATGCCCTATGCGGATTTGTTTGTAAACCCATTTTTCTCTTTCATTCTTCTTTCTCCTTCGTCTCCTTCGTTTCGGACAATTTCACCGTTGGTGGATTCTTCTTCTGATATCGATCCGTCAATTTATGTGCACGATCTTCTTCTTGGGGTTTCTTGTCATCTGTAGGGTTGGGTAATCAAGGCTTCATCGGTGCGTCCTCTCTCTCTCTCTCTCTCTCTCTTTTTTCCTTCAAAATTTGATCGGAAGTACCGATTCCAGTTATTAAGCTTTGGCGACCTTCGCACTTTGAATTAACTGAGCTTTGTAGTTAGTTGAATCGGTTTATGTTTCCTCAAGTTTTACGGCTGCAATGGTGATGGTGGTGATGATAAGTATTTATGTGTTCATTGTTTGATCGGTCTGTTTGATCATCAGTTTCCCTCCCCGACAGTCTTTGGTTTATTTTCTCCGAATCGTGATTTTTGCTTGAAACTTAATGACCTGCAACTGGTGATCTATTGATCCTTTATCCTCTTTTTTTGATGGAATAAGTAGTATTACTGTAATCACTTTTAATCTGATTGATACTTCTATACAGGTTCTAGTGATTCTCGGATTACGAATCGATGAGAATGAGTTTGGTTTATCAGTTGATGCCTTCAGTGTGTTCGGATCATGATTTGTGTGATTCTAGGCCTAAGAATCTGTGGCCACAATTTTGATCCACAATTGATACTTTCTCTCTTTCATTCTTTTCAGACAAGTGTGGATGGCGATGAACTCTGTGTCGTTCATCAAGCTACAAGTTGCTCGAATAAACTCCTGCCATTGCCGAGTTGCTAATATGTATCAGGCACTGTCTAGTATGGGAGCAATGCACAGCTTGTGGATGCCAGTAACTGATTCATAGTTCTAGAATAGCTTATTAGGGAATTTCAGAGAAGCAGATATAGAGAAATTGACACCAGAGAAGGTGTAAATACGATTTAGGCTTGTCCTGTAACCCAGTAAGCGATACGTTCCTCTGCACGTTGGTGATGGGCCTGCCGCATACTGCTTCAGATGAAGCTTTGCAAAGTCTGCCCGCATATGCAACTTCCCATGATTCCTGTGACCTTAATGGGGAAACTGAGGGAAGCCTCTGCTCCTCTATTGGGGAATTTGATCGAAAAACATTGTTGGACCCTCCAGAGCTCTTAGACGATTCTTGTAAATATCATGGCACTCGGGCTGTTTCTTCGTCAACTGCAGATGGATCAATTATCTGCGCAGTGGATAAGACTAGTTGGAGCCAGACTGCACTTAGAAGGGTAGTTGGGTTTGAAGAAATTGGAACTAGCTCGGCAGATAATGAACACATGGGCACCACTGCCAATCACACTGATCTGTCGAACAGTGGATTTAATGAAGTAGAGGCAGGTGGATCAGTTGTCAGGAAACGGGTGCTGTCTCCTCTGAGTACTCTCTTTCCCGAGAGATTTAGAGGTGACCTGCTTGATATCAGTAGTAGTGACCAACATAAAACTTCTGCTGCTCTGAAAAATGAGCTCTATGTTCCTGCCACCCAAGATCACAAAAAGGCAAATATCACCAGCAGATTAAGTTTCTCCACTGTGCCCTCAACCACGGCTACTTCGAGCTGCTGGGAATGGAGGGGCATTTCTGCAAACTGCAGTAGACTCTCTTCTATGGTTTTCACCGATGGTCCGTTGCTAGATGGCCAGGAGCAAGAGTCGACAAAAGGTACGGTTTGCATATGTTCACCTGTATTTGAAACGTCTCGAGGACCCAATAAGCCATCACAGTGTGATAAGGACGTATCTGTCTCTCCACCTCTTTCTCTATCACCACTTGGCCCAAGATTTTTTGAGAGAATAAAAGTTTTACAAGCACACCAAAATGGGAATATACTGGAAGATGATCAGTGCGTTAGGAACGTTGGTGAAGATGCAGAACTCAGGATTGACCGTAGATTGTTTGAAGATGCTAATGCTATTCAGAGAAGCTTGTGTACGTCTTCAATGGAGAGAGCTATTGAATCGGCTCATACTTCTTCATGTAGAAGGTTCTGTAGAAGCTTGAGTGGACGCCCCATTCAGAGGTCCTTGGTTGGTTCTTTTGAAGAGTCCATTTTGTCAGGAAGATTATCCTATGGACAGACTAATCAGGTTCTTACCTCAGCTTTGTTTAATTTGTGATGCTTTGATGTCCATTTCGTTATTGGTTTTAATATGTTTTCTGCAAATGGGGGAATGATTGGGCGGGGGCTTCATAGATGTTGGCATAACGACTTTCAAGCTTTCTTTTTTCAGTGCCTACTCCCATTAAATCCTAATCAATCTCTTTCTTATACCCACTGTCAGGTATTTTGTTCAATGACTGCTCCGTAAAACCCCTTGCAAATTTATTTTCCGTTGCCAGTGTCCTAAGTCCTAGTACGTATTTTATATTAGTGGTCATAGCTCGTCTTTTTTCCATTTTTTTTGGTGTATCTATGTTTACCACAGTATCCATTTGTGTATTTACAACAAGCAGTTTCTATGTCTATAACGGCCACATGGCAAAACTATACTTGCGGCCATGGTTGCGCCAAAGCCATAAACCCCCAACTAGAGCCACAAGTCATAAATGCTGTGTAAACCCACATCTTTACCTTTGTGCCCTTAGACTCCTCACAAATTTTATGCTTGTCTGTCTGTGCAGATAATTGATGGTTTTCTTGCCGTACTAAGTATTGCTGGGGGAAGCTTCTCTCCAAAATCACAGAAGCTGCCTTTCTCAGTATCTAGTGCTGATGGTGATTGCTTTTTACTTTATTACGCGTCCATTGATCTTGCTGGAGGATCTTCTACAAACAAATTTTGGCTTCAGAAGGTGAAAACAAATCAAAATACTGATTCTCAGAGTGTCAAAAGCCGGTTGCGGATCCCCATGAAGGGCCGGATACAGTTGGTATCTCCTATCTCTTTGTTTCTTGTTCCATTTTGAATGGAAATTCAGAATTGCATTGCTGTTGACTACACAAGGGATGATTTCCACCTCTTTCAAGGAGCACGACAGTTGTGAGTTTTGTGAAAAAAATTGCAGAAAGGTGTCAATTCCCGGTTGTTCAATTGTAACCGTTCCTTGAATTTAAAATCAAATTGTTGGTGAAGTTGACGGTTGGGTTGTGAAAGCGATGAGAAGTCATTTGGTTCTCTAACTCAATGCTACTATTACTCTATTCTTCACATGAGCTTGTGGTATTTGTGAAGATAAAAAGAATAGGCTAATACTGAGGATCATTATGTTTCTGTAGTTTAGCTTTTTCTGAGTGCTATAGCTACCTTTTTGAAGCTGGGGATGTTCACTCATGATATTAACTGATCTTTCTGCAGGTTCTCAGTAACCCAGAGAAGACACCACTCCACACTTTCCTCTGTAACTATGACTTATCCGACATGCCAGCTGGTACTAAGGTAAACATAAGAGACCTATTAAGCTCCGGTCAAGTTTTTTTTCTTTTTTCAATTATTATTGTGAATCATCCAGGGTCGGGTGACTCGGGTCTTGTTTTCAGTTTTAAGCTCATTAAACTGGGAAAACCCAGTTTTTGTTCTGGCTTTATGGGTTTAGTCCATAGAAAATCAAAAGCAAGAAAAAATTCTTTTGAAAATCAAGAAAGAAGAACCAATTTCAAAACCCAAACCATGATAATATGATATTGGATGTTAGGTGAAATTACTGCATCTTTTTACAGATTTATCGTTGTTGCCTGTATCTATAAATGCAACAGCCAAAAACCAAAATAGGCGGAATTATTGGCTTTTGTGCAAGTCCATAGCAAAGAGCCGGAAATTAGCTGCTTCACTTGCACCCCTAGGCAACCTATGTTGTTTTCTTTCCCTTCTATTTCTAAAACGCCTGTTCATGTACGTTTACACTCTTCCA